ATTTCGTAAATCAATTTTTCATGTATTTGTAATTTTGAACACATGACATTTAGCTTCTGAGATCAAATTTTCGGCATGTTAGGAGTTACAATTCGGATCGTACATTCAAATCAAAAAATGCAATAATGCTACTTCATTTATGGCGTGTGAAAATTACATGAAATCTAATTTTCTGAAATTTACGTAAAATTACGTGTAATGTAATTTGTGTTTTTAATAAAATATAGTAATTTTTATTACGAACTTTTTTTTCCTTCCAGAATCTTTTCTTTATAGAAAGAGTTGACTGCACTCATTTTGTGGTTAATCTTTTATTATATTTCTTCATCTTAGATTGATATTTTCTTTCTTTACATGATCTTTTTTAAATTGATTCAGCAGAACTCAAAATTTTGACCTACTTCGACTGTGATAAGGAATCTTGTTGAAATAGATAAGGCACTAACTTGCCCATCGTTAAATATTTAGATGTTTTATATCCTTTTTCGTAATATTTCATGCTGTTAAGGAGTTAGTTAATATCACCAATGATAAATTTAAAAAACTTTTTAACAGGCATTATCTGCTTATTCAGATCTTTACCGCTATGTAATTATTAAACAAATTATTAAGAATAAAATACAATTCAATTTCATTATCTTCTTTAAGTGGCCTATTTCCACACTTAGCAATTGTAATTTTCAACCTGATACTTATAAGTTAACGAAAATATTTGCTGAAGTGGCATAGGTAATATACATACTGCTAAAATTACCAATTCATGAATCACAGTAAAACGTATTAAATGCTATAACGCCACACGAAAAATTTTGGTTGTTTCTAATATAAATTCTGTTAGTCAATCTGATTTCTAGAAGTGGCTATGCGTACTGTACTCCAAAAAAAGTTATATATCTTAATACATTATTAGTTAAATTTACCTATAGAAACAGAATGGTATATTCGAAATTTGATCATTGATTCTAGAATCAATTGTGTTATTGGCTATTGTTCCATAATCTTGATGCGTTATGATCCATAGAAACAGAATGGTGTCTTCGAAATTCGATTATTGTTTCTAGAATCAATTGTGTTATTGACTATTGTTCCATAATCTTGATGCGTTTTAATCTATAGAAACAGAATGATGTATTCGAAATTCGATCATTGATTCTAGAATCAATTGTGTTATTGACATTGTTTCATAATCTTGATGCGTTATAATCTATAGAAAAAGAATGGTGTATTCGAAATTCGATCATTGATTCTAGAATCAATTGTGTTATTGACTATTGTTCCATAAACTTGATGCGTTATAATCTATAGAAACAGAATGGTGTATTCGAAATTAGATCATTGATTCTAGAATCAATTGTGTCATTGACTATTGTTCCATAAACTTGTTGCGTTATAATCTATAGAAACAGAATGGTGTATTCGAAATTAGATCATTGATTCTAGAATCGATTGTATTATTATTGACTATTGTTCTTAGAATTGATTCTCAATTCTAGTTAGGTTAGTCTCATGCTAAAGTTTTTTCGAAGAACTTTGTAATGTAAAAGCAGTTTCATATTATGTAAAAAATTATATCATAATATTTCAGATAGGGGTAGTAAAAATTATTACGTAATATAGATTTTATGCATTGATCGGCAAAATCGATATACCGATACAGTACTTATTGCACAGGTCATCCGTAGGCGAATAGATTAGTGGGTCCACCAAAATTCAGCAAATCGGCCCGAATTTGGGTCGAAATAGGCCGGAATTAATAAATTTTTTCTAAAATCACAAAATTTTACTAATAAAGTGGCAGCCTATGCACTAAGTAAAGCTGCCCAAATGATAATTTTGCCATAATATAGTCGACTGGTATTATTGCTTAATGCCACTTTGCTCCGGCCCATCCCTGACCCCAAATTCGGGTCGATTTGCTGAATTTTGGTGGACCCACTAATCTATTCTCCATAGGCAATTGCACGGGTCATCCGTAATTTTCATTTGGCTATTGCACGGGATTGTACGCCAGACACCGTCCAATAATGCTGTAATGTAGTTATTGAATGGGAAAACAGAAACTATTAGTGTCCGGAGCAGATAAGTTACACAAATATGCAAGAATATGCAGGTAGGTTGTCAGATAATCGGAATCCATGACATTTTTTGGTATTTACTTATCTATTGTAAGTCCTTCGCTACGCTCCGGACAATTATCGTTTCTATATTTAGATATAGCAAAAATATTAGTACATACGAAGTCACAGTTTAAAATTTTTATTTACAAAAATTTGTTCATTTTAGCCAGTAAATTATGTATGATCCGGGATCTCGCATGAAAATAAAGTTTTCTTGACATGACTAATCTATCTAAGGATTATTCACCATTTCGGGTTAAAATCTTATTAAAATATTTTGCACAATGAAATAAAGTATATATCAGCAGTTTCGCTATTTTTCTGCTTGAAAAAGTTTTCATTATCTATCTTCGACAACCACATTTGCTGCTTACAACACTTTTGCTTTTTACATTGAAATCACAATGAGTAATTACTCCAGCTTCGTTCATAAAAATAAGCTTGCTTCAAGTATGTATGATTTTTGCCTCTTCAATGCTATAACAAATGGCATTGACCTCAAAGATCCCGTTGGCAAAATCAAACGTGAATTGAAGCAAGCTTATTTAAAAATTACAAAGAAAAATAATATAGAAACGTCCATGGAAAGTATAATATTTATGTTCATTAAGATTTTAACCATCGCATATTGGAATCCTGGTCGGCTGTGACAAAATTGATTAATTTTGCCCGAGATCATTAAAATTCTACTAAGAAATAAGATTGTTTCATAATGCCGGACAAAATTATACTTAGGCAAGACTATAGTTGTGACCCAAAACCCGAAACTATATATAAACTCCCGAAACCGAAACCCGAAACCTTTCCCGAAACTCGAACACTATACTGAAAAGCGTAGAAATTTAGATTTAAACATTAACTTTAAGTATACAAAAATTAGATTGCATTCCAAGAGTTTTTTTAGTTACTTTATAGTAAATGAGTATTAATTTTTAACATTCTAATTTGAAGGATTCATAAAGGTTTCGGGTTTCGGGTTTCGGGTTTCGGTCACAACTATAGGCAAGACCAACTTAATTTGGTGGTTTACATTACATCCCTTCTTCAAAAGGGTGAACAAAACGTATACATAGAATTTTATTAAAAATTTCTTTCAATCAGAAATTATCGGCTCGTCATTTATGTTCGTTCATTTTCTCTTCGGTATTTTTCTGATCCTTACAATTTCTAAACTTAATTCCGCCCGGCATTAACTCTCCGGCTAAAATCATATATGTATATCCCAAAAATTTTTTTTTACTAAGAGAGGGGATAATGTAAACCACTTTGGCCTTATCATGGATTAGAAATAACTTAATGCTGGCTGAATTGAAACGTTAAACGATTAAACTATTAAGAAAATTTCATACAATTCCAGCCTACTCTTGATATGAGAAATTAATCTAAAATCTCATATTTCAGGAAGCCGAAATCAATAAGTTCTTCGACCTTCTAGAAGAAACTAGACAAAACAACTCATATGTTGTTTATGGCTTAAGGATAAAAGAACTGATTGAAAAGAGAGGTTGGGACGGCCTCTATAATACATACATTATAGAACCAACAAAGGCCATGCAAGCTATGGCTTTAATAGCTGATGTAAGACATTTTTAATTTTAAATATTTTTTTTTTTTTTTTTTTTTTTTTTTTTTTTTTAATTTATAACGCGAAATAATGAATATATTTAAATTAGTTACAACGTCAAAATGTTAATGATGTTGTAAAAGCAATCGCAAAAGCGATTGCAAAAATATCATTAAGTGGCGCATCAACGGATTATGATGAGTTATTGTTATCAGGAATTCTGGATGTCGAAGGATTGAACAAGAAGAATTCTTCGATAATGCATGATCTTATGCAGGAGGGGCTATGGGATTCAATTGATGAGCCCATACCTCTTATACCACTGTCTGATGACGTTGCAAGCTTTGTTGCTAAATGTGTTCGGAAATGTGAAAAAGGCAGTGAAGCCAAGATTCCAAAAAAAGGCGGTAAACCATTTAGAAGAATTAGAAAATTGATAAGCTCTATGTAAGTTATTATTTGCCATCCATAAACTTTCTATTGAAATTTAGTTGCATATATTAAAAATTACTAATTTAAATTAAATATATAAGAACTAAATTATGGAAGAACCCTGCTTATCAAGCTGAGCTTCCAAATATAAATGAGTCCACATGGGCACATAACTTAATAGCGCCCATCGTGGAATTCATTGAGGATGGACTGGAGTCAGACCTATTCATCAGATGGTAAGCCATAATTTTATTATCATGTGGAACCAAATTTTTCAATAGACTTCGATTATAGATGCAGACTTATTCATATCATTGGCTATGGCTCAATTTTATATGAGTGCGCGAGAGGGAAATTAGGTAAGTAAAATTTTATTTGTTAATCATTAATTATGCCGATCTTAAAGATTTAGTGCCGGGGTGTGACCAATCATAAGATATGACAAATAATCATTTTTTATATAGTTTATATCGTAAATGTTTATTTGTCATACCCTATGATTGGTCACGCCCCAACACCAAATCATTAAGATCGGCATAATGATTAACGAATAAAATTTTACTTGCCCATTTTCCTCTCGCGCACTCATATAACATAAATAAATAATTTTGTAATTTGGGTGCCGGTCAAATCCCGACAAGAACAATCCTGACAGGTCATAACCCCAACAAAAATCCTGACAATCAAGAATCCCGACAGTCAGAATTTTCAAGAGAAAATTCCTTATAATTTAGGATTAGGTCACTTTGTATAAGGGTTAGGCTAGGGTTAGCTATGGTTTATGACATTTTTTATCAAAATTTTTAATTGTCGGGATTTTTAACTCAGATTTTTGGCTGTTGCAATTTTTGTTGAGATTTTTTTATCGGGATTATGACCTGTCAGGGTTTCGCTTGTGTGATTTTGAACCAAACCCGTAATTTGGGATTTACTAATTCCTCCACCACTTCTGATTGGCTGTTCTAATTGTTCAATTATTGGAGCATTTTATATTAGTAATCAAAAAAATTTTCAAGTAAAAATTCGCGCCGTTAGACTAGAATTAATATTTTGGCATTATATTATAATTATAAGACGTTCTTATACAAAATTTTACAAGGAAAATTTTTTATTAATGCGTATAAGACAGTTTCATATATAGAATTTAGAGTTATGGCGATTTTTAATTTTTGAATTGTTTTTTGCGTTTCTTTTATGACTAGCTCCGATAAATGAATAATTAGTACAGCCAATCAGAAGTGGTGGGAGAAATTAGGGCATTCTGTGATTTGAACCAAACCCGTAATTTGGGATTTACTAATTTCCTCCACCACTTCTGATTGGCTGTACTAATTGTTCAATTATTGGAGCATTTTATATTAGTAATCAAAAAAAATTTTCAAGTAAAAATTCGCGCTGTCAGACTAGAATTAATATTTTGGCATTATATTTTAATTATAAGACGTTTCTTATACAAAATTTTACAAGGAAAATTTTTTTATTAATGCGTATAAGACAGTTTCATATATAGAATTTAGAGTTATGGCGATTTTTAATTTTTGAATAGTTTTTTGCGTTTCTTTTATGACTGGCTCCGATAAATGAATAATTAGTACAGCCAATCAGAAGTGGTGGGGGAAATTAGGGCATTCCGCAATTTAATATTATTATTTTCATGCTTTAAAAGAAGAACTAATAACAAAATTTTTTTTTATTTAGGGAGGCCGTCACCAGTAATGCCAGTCTCGAAAGAAATGGTCTCCAAGGCCCAGACAAGAGATTCGATATATTTGGAATTTATCCGAATGAAATTTCTAATTTAGAAATTTTATTTGGAGAAATTTCTTATGGCCCTGCAAATGAGACTAAGAAGCATACGGGCGATGATAGAATCAAGTTGGGAAAAGGGTGTAAAGATTCCTTTGATTGTATTATAAGGAATCACACCCAATTCACCAACTTTGATCACAAACTATTAAATCTTTTTGAAATTCATGCGCATGGTTAGTACCCTACAAATATACAGTATTTATTTTATATTAAAATCAAACTAACCAAATATTATTTCTAGGAACAGTGGTTGAATTTTTTGTCTTCGATAAAAAAATTCACCCACTGTTCCGAATGAGGAAATTAGCGACGATCGAACTCCCTTTTAGAAGGGATTCAAACTTTGAAGAATTGATAAAAGTGTTATGCGCATTTAAGGAGTATATTATAAATACTCTAAAATATATTAAGAGAATGATGAATGATGATGAAAACGATGATGATGAAAGTGATGGGGATGAAAGTGATGAGGATGAAAGTGATGAGGATCAAAAGTCGGAAATTAATATTCCTACTTTTGATACCCCAATAACTAAAAAAAAACAGTAAAAAAAACAATGTAAAAGCATCAAAATTAAACCTACCTATTGAATAAAACTTATATTAAGTAGGTTTACATGACTGGAATTTTCGTCACAGTTTTTGCCTCATTTGACTCGAACCGGTGACCCACGGGTCCGTAAATTACGTATTTACAGCTGTTATCATTATTCCTGGGACACCTTATGAAAAATTAACCGAATGATTATTTAGCCGATTCGATAAGTTA